TAGGAAAATTGGCGGAAATAATTACAAAATGTCATGACAAAATAAAGTGAAATTGCTTCGTCGTTTAAGCCTAGTATAACTCAGAACAAAAAGATCTCAGTTGGAATAAGAAAGATAGTATAAGTTTACTCTTGGTCCGATAGACTGTTTGTCAAAAAACTTTTTTTTAATTTTTCGGGCTTATAATTAAACTTATTGATTTGTGCTTTTGGAACAATGTTTGGAACAACTAGAACAATCTATATCGGTATCGGAATGCTTTATTTTCAAAAAATGGGGTGCCAGGTCAAAAACATTTTTTTCATTTTTTGGACTGGATAATTCAACTTACGGATTTGTTCTTTTGGAACAATGTTTGGAACAACTAGAACAATCTATTGCGGTATCAGAATGTTCGATTTTCGAAAAGTGGAGTGCCAGCTCAAAAAATCATTTTTTTTGTTTTATTCGAAAACCGTTTCGAATGAAGCAATATCACTTTGGAACAATGTGGTACAAAGTCAGAATAATCTGGAACAACTTTCAAAATTATAAATTTCAAAAAGTGGGGTGCCAACTTTACTCCAAGTCTGCCTAGCTTTATCGCAGAAACCGCGAGACACCGTTCGACACGTTTCTCACGCAAGACATATCTTTGCAGGCACGGCGGGCACCTCCAGGTCGAGGATGGACGGCGATGACGACGACGTCGAGAGCTGCTGTTCGACGTGCAGCTCGTCCAGCAGCTCGGACGAGGCCGCGGCTTACGCGTTGCCGCCGCGGCGCGCGTACGGCGGCGTCCGGATCTCCTACGTGCCGAACGACGCGGTGGCGTGCGCGAGGAAGCGCGCGCCCGCGTCCTCGTCGTCGTCGAACCAGGCGCAGAAGGACACCGAGAAGTGCGTCGTATCCTGATGACTCCTCCGACGATCTATGTGCTCCGACGTCGTCACCCGGCCGTCATTGTGGACCGACCATCGTCGTCGGTAAACGAGAGACGAGCGGTGAGAGGACGCGCGACGGGGAAACAGAGTTCCTACGAAGTGGACGCACTTCTCGAGATCTTCTTCCGAAGCGTCGCCGACGGCGTACGCGCTCTGCCTCGTGCCTGCACGTGCGAGACACGTGGACGCGTTCGTGCGCGGCAACGCCACAACAAAATACTCAGTTTGTTCGTGTAAATATCGATGAGCTCTCTTCCGGGAAGGCCGCGACGCGACGCGCCGCCTCGTCCCGGCGCGGCCTGTCTCCCTTTATTTTTAATACCCCATTAATGTATTTGATAATAATAACGATGACGATAATAAACCGCCATGTTGTGTCTCCCGTTGTTATATCGTTACGTTACCCGCTCAGAAACGAAAGCGCGACGAAAATAATAAATAACTTCTTGTCTCTCTCCCCCCCCTCTCTGTCTGTCTGTCTGTCTGTTTGTCTCTCTCTTTTTTCTCTCTTTCTTTCTATCTCTGTCTGTCTCTGTCTCTCTCTGTCTGCAACCGGCCATTTGCGTGCAAGACCGAAGCTGTTTAGCGTGAGTATGCTTTCTGATTACACGGTATTATCTTGCGCGCGTACGTTCGGCCATTCATCGTAAAGCCGAGCGATGATTCGATAATCGTTCTCGTTAAGGATCATTTCCGACGGTGAAAATCCTGTCGAGGTAACGCCGGGCGTCGTCGACTACGAGAGACACAAGCGCGGAGTATCGCCTGCACGCTGAATTTATCCCGGTAGTGCCAGTCTACAACTACAATCAGACTGTAACATTTACTTGAATGCACCACACATTTTTCTAGGTGTACAAATTGAATTTATTGCATCATATAACTATATATTTAATTATATAACAAATTAAACGACGGTTACATTTAATATGTGAATTCGTGAGCTGATATTATAATGCCAATCACTGATAATTTCCATGGCAAAGTGTTAGTTTTTTATTTTTAACGCGTGTTACCCACACACGCACGCCACATACACACACCTACCGACATATAAACCCGACAAGTCGTCAAGCAGTTTAATTTCTCTCATTGCGCAAATACGTGAACACACGCCGAACTTCGACTTTCGAATTAACAAGAGATAAATTCCTAATTAACTCTCCTTAATTGATACATCGAGCGGTACAACTACATAATTATCGGCCGAAAGGTTAACGGCCGAGCGCGGAAGCGGCGCGGCACGGCGCTACCTCGGCCGCGGATTCTTCGCGCGAGAGCGGTCAGGAGTCCGACGGATACTCCTCTGTCGGTCTAGCCGAACAAATTGATCGGCCAGCTTTCATATTTCGACGCGCGCGATATGGAAATGCACGAGTAAAAGCGGCGAGACAAGAGCGAAAATCGCACTTTACGGTCGAGTGGCGAAAAGAGCGAAAGTAGCAGCCCCTCTCGGAGGACAAACGCGCGCGGCTAGCCCGAGGAGGGTACTGGTGCTTTCTCTCATCCGACGTGCGCGTCTCACGCCGACAGGAAGACACTACGGGTCCGATATCGGAGGTCGGATCCGTCCAAAGGACCGTGGCCGTCCAGCCATTAGCCACTTGGATTTTTCGTCCTTTCATCTCGGACGATCCCTCGAGAGATCGTCATTAACGTACGCGCGCGCGTTCACAGTCGCTCGCCGCCTGATGTATCGACTAATCGACGTTCCAAAGGACGCCTCGCCTGAACGACGGACGGGACGCTCGGAACGCGGGCTTCCTCTACACGCGCGTTGCTTGAGAATGGATGAATGATAATGATAAATCGGGCCTCTACGAGCGAGGCGCGTGACGACGCCCGGCCTGGCTTGACAGACGGCCGAGCGCTCACATTTCACTTGTCAGATTCCATTGAACGGCTGACAACTTGCTTTTAATGTGTCGATGGTACTGTCTTGGAATCCCTTGAAAACGCCGTCAAGTCAAGCCCTCTTTTCAATTATTTTCACTCATACCTGGAATCCATGTGCTGCGCAGGTAAGGTTTGATTAATTTGCGAGACGGCTGATGACTGGGTTATTCAACGACACTTCAAATCAGTATCTTGCACATGACCACTTAGCAAATTGAGATAACAGTACTGGTGACGTGTATATTCAGGAAAAAGCCGATGTTATCTCGCCGGGCTATTTTACAAGAATTTGCATATCTTCAACAAGTGTGACTACGTGTCGCCATTCATGGGGGAGATTGATGAATATAATCACAGTCAAAGGCTCGAGGCTCCCTCGCGTACATGATTTTGATGTATTTGACTTAACGGTATTTTAATAGCGATGTAGCATCCGTGGAGATTGCCGGAGGCAGCCCTCTCATTACGCGATCTCGTGCATTACGCGATCAGAGTTGTAGAGATATCGATTAAATTCTTCTCGCTTTAATAGTCAGTTTGAACAAATATGTTTGGACTCAGCTGAATTCCGTTTGAGCGATTAATTTAAATAAATTCAATCGAGGAATGCTTAATTGACGATTGGTTTTATCGAATTCAATTAAGAGATCTCCTCCGTTCAATTGATGTGAATGGAGGAGATCGCTCAAATAACGATTGAACTCAGCAAATTTAATTAGGAACTGTTCGAGTGACGATCAAACTTGGAAAATTTCATTAAAGGTCCTTTAATTGACGCTGATACGAGCAAATTCAATTGATTCAATTCATTGATAATTGCTACGATATAGCGATAGTTTCGAGCAATTTTTATTATATTTTTAGATGGAAAAATTAATTTACTTCTATTTTTTCTTTTTTTATTTACTTCTATTTTTTTAAACATGACAAATTCTCCCTAATAACTTTTTTATAATTTTTTATAACAATTTTATAACAATTTTTTATAATTTTTTATAATAAATCCATTGATGTATTTGATCAACTCTTTGACATAAACTAAATGATCATAAGATAATATAATTTAGACATTTTCTTCGATTATATTTTAATTATATTTTCTTTTGAGTCAATTTGTAAATAACTCTTTCGAATTAATTAATTATAAATAATTCTTTCGAATAAATTTGTATGACACAGAAGTATTAACGTGATTAATGTCAAAACGGTAACCATGGATACCGGTGTGTGCGCATTGTAGACAAATGAAACTCTCTACCTTTCTCTCTCGCACAGATGTTGGACACACAATCGATATTCAACTTTCTTTCCATTTATATAAGTTCTAAGTATCAATTATCAGTTAAACAGCCTCTCAATTAAATTTTCTGAGATCGATTGTAAATTAAACGTTCACTCGAATTAATAATCAATTATCAGTTAAACAGCCTCTCAATTAAATTTTCTGAGATCGATTGTAAATTAAACGTTCACTCGAATTAATAATCAATTATCAGTTAAACAGCCTCTCAATTAAATTTTCTGAGATCGATTGTAAATTAAACGTTCACTCGAATTAATAATCCATCAGTTGAATTGAAACATATTTGTTTGAATCGATTATTAAAGCGAGGAAAAATTTCATCGATATCGTTGCAGCTCTGGATAAAACTATGTAGTAATAGTTGGCGAATGAGATCAGAGTCGAATCGCAGTTAAAATTCTTGTTCGAAAGGGAGCACGATGATTCGGCATCGCAAGAAATCCGTGTCCGTGAAGCGAGAGCATTTTTCTTTTTTCACAATATAGCGCAATTAAAGGCGCCCGTACAGGAAGTACGGCGCGAGCACGAAGAGCCTACCGGGCGCATTCCGCGCGGAATACGACTCGACGACTGACTTTCTTTTCGCACCGCGAAAATTGGAATCACTACGTGTGCGCGAACTGTGCCGTGGATTGCGTAACTATCGCGTGCAAACGCGATTCCCGAGTCGGTAGCCGCGGCAATTATGCGCCCGAGAGGGAACGCGCTGCCGCGATACGCCTGTCATCGGCCCCGATCTCCGTGCAACAGTTTCATCGATTTATCAGGGAAAGAGAACTTAATAAACGGACCGGTGTTGCAGCTGCAACGAGCCATTAGTACATTGGCTCAGATTCGTTCAAAGGAGAGCGGGTATCGCAGAGAATCAAATTGCGCAGAGAAATAGATTTCTTTAGATTTAATAACAATTAATAAAGATACATAAAATTTATATAGGGAATTTTTATATATAAAATAATTTTTAAAAATTTTATCTATATAATAAAGAAATTATTTTTATGTTTAACAAATTTTATTACATTCAAACAAATCTGACCACTGAGTGGTCCAAAGAAACTAACGCTCCCACCAATAAGCACGATTGTCCAAATAGGACGTAAATATGAAATAAAGATGAGTCCAAATAGGAAGTAAAGATGAAAGGTTATTAGAGATGTGCGAACTATTCGAATTCGAATCCAAATAATTCGAAAATTTCGAATCGAAAAGTTTCGAATACGGATCGCGCACATTAGCATTAACGAAGAATTATTAAAGACATCCAGCCTTACGGGAATTAGCATGACTTAAAAAGTTTGCTATACATTAAGGTTGTCTTCAAAAATATTAAAAGAAGATAACGGCTTCTAGATAAACTCTTAATTTCCTTAGCAAGATAGACTTTACTGACAGTATATTTCTAGACTACTAAAAGCATCATGAAATTGAAAAGTATTTTTATGGAAAAAATGGTATAATATCCTCACTTTGTAGAAACAGAAATGTGCTATTAAAAATTTTGATGTTTCTAGTAAAATTCACTATTAAGCCCTTAGCAAAATTGGAAGGAATTTATATGAAAAAAAAACTGTAATATTTTCCGATAACTGTCGGATCGATATGTGTCGTTGCGCACTTTCAAGGTTGGAACTGTATTCCATACACGACTATATATTATAGATCTCTTACCTTAAAATGAATTAATATCACATAATCAATATTATCTCTACTTGTTAGTTACTAAAGTCACTATTTCCATGTTGAATTCAACGATTATGTAAATTAAAAATTCTTCTAACGATTCGATTCGATTTGATTCGGGTGAAATTTTATCGATTTGATTCGAATTCGAAATTAAAATCTGAGATTCGATTCGACATTAAATATCTTTGACTCGCACATCTCTAAAGGTTATGCTGAAAAGTTCAAAGGGGGAGGTAAGAATATACAAGAGAGACATGATAATAGAAGGTGAAGGTTAAATACTTCACGGTGGGTCTTTGAAGGTTGATCGCCGAGGGCCGGAAGAGAGCGCCAGTCCGAGGCTAGCGCGATGCATCAACCTGTCATTCGTGTCAAATCCTTCAGTCTACCCCTTCAATTTAGCGTTGCGTTTAGCGCTAAACATGGAGTTTCGCTGGTTCTACGAGAATTAGCTTTTCTCCATATATGGCGACAATTTTCTTTTTCAGATAAAAAGA